TATCATTTAAAAAAACAAAGTGAAGTGAGGAAAATAAACAGGCTGTTTCTTCACCCATTTATAAGATTTATACAAAAAGAAATGTCATACAATTCATGTGGCAAGGAAGACTTCTTTAACAGCTGAAATGAAGAACAGTGAGAGTTGGATTGACTGATGTTTGAAGTGTAAAAGAGCCAAGGAAAATAGAAAGGATGCATTAGAACATAAAGAGCTTAACGTGTATGTCTCAAAACATCCTTCAGACGTTTTTTCTTGCTTTACACTAGCAAGTGGTAAATAACTGAAGTGTCTGAGGCTTCAAACGCCTCCTGGCTCGTTCTCAGCCTTCGGAAGCAAGGCATGTATTGAAGTGACAGTGTTGTGAGGTTCGCTGCAGTAAGCTGACACGACTGCTCCTAGCCAGAGGCAACCCGCCCCCCAGTCCCAGAAGCATTTCAGCTGTATCACAGTCTGATATGGTCCATATCTTTGTTATAGCATTCAGCATACTGAGCTCAGACATTACCTGTCTTCTCTATCGTCAAAGCAAAAACTGCCCTTGACAAAGTTGGAAAAGTTGTTCCTGATTCTTGCCAAATGTATGTGACCCCGTAACAGAGGACCACGCACGGTACCGACGCTCAGAAAGGCCCGCCGCCCTGGGCGCAGTAGGAGCCCGTAAGCTCTGCGGGCCTGTAGGAGGCGCCCTGGAGGCAACTCCTCGGGGTCCTCCTGGCCAAGCTGGGAAGCGGGAAGGAGCAGAGAAGGTCCGAAGAGGCTCTTCCGCTTCCAGCAGATAAACCCTCTCCCTCCTCCTGCTCAGTCCCCAGAGGCAGGGCTTAGAGGAGTTTCTAGTGCTGAGGGTGCCGTGGATTTCTGTGGCCCCAGGAGTCTCTGAATTCAAGATCAGCCTCTGCAGTGAGCCCCACTCTGTCTGTCCGTCCGCTGTGGGAGCGGCAGTACTGCTATAAAGTCAGATTCGGGCTTTAAGGTGAAAATAAATCTTTTCTATTTTTTAACTGAAGTATAATTGGTGGACTATATTGTATTAGTTTCAGGTGTACAACATGGTGATTCAAAATTTTTATACGTTATACTCCATTTATAATTATTAGAAAATATTGGCTGTGTTTCCTATATGTTTTGAATGGTTAAAATGAAAATGTAGGAGAGAATTTAAAAACAAATGAACAACAATAAAGCTCTGATGAAGTGGCGTCCTTGACCTGCCTGCACGTGCCGGGGGCCCGCGGTGCGCCGGGAGTCGCACCCACGCAGACCCCTCCGTCCGTGTCCCGGCTCCTCCCTGCCGCTCGGTCTCATCGCTTTTGCTTTCTTCAGGGAGCCCTCTTCTCTGTTTCCTCAGCCACTACCTCTCCCCCTTTGCCTGGTTAGCTTCTCTAGATCTTTCATATCTGTTTAAACTTCGCTTTCTTTGTATACCTTGCTTGATCTTTCTGACCAGGTCAACCCTCTATTATAGACACTCTCTCTCCAAACACTTCCGGTTACCACTCTATGTTTCTTCATGTGGTTTTCTCGATCAGCACACGGTAAGCGCTGTGGTGGTGGAGACTTGTTCTCCGTAACTCTCCTTCGTTCCCCAGCACCACCCACAGCACTTGTCACAGGGCTGTGTGCTTAACAAATACAGCTCATCATCTGTTGAATGAGTGAGTGAATAAACCTGTTGATTTCATTCGCCTGGTCTCCCTTCGATTTGGCTTTCTCAAAACAGTTAACAGTTTGAAAAAGCCTCCTGATAAAGAATGCTGCTCTGTTGTTTTAACTCCATAGGTAGGAAGGGATCATGTTCATCTAGGGCACCAACAAAATGAAGGTCAGGCAGTTCAGTTCAGTCACTCAGTCATGTCTGACTCTTTGCGACCCCATGGAACTCTGCTTTTTAATACACTGTCTAGGTTTGTCATAGATTTTCTTCCAAGGAGCAAGTGTGTTTTAATTTCATGGCTGCAGTCACCATCTGCAGTGATTTTGGAGCCCCAAAGAAAAAAGGTACAGTCAGTCACCCAAATTATCCCTCTATTTTTCTCTTAGGGCTTTAGGAGAAGAAAAACTTAGCATCAGTCAATATGTTACAGGCTATATCTAATCCTGCTTACTTTAGAACCATTTCTAGTTACAGTGATTTTATTTACTAAAATGAATTCATTCCAATCTTTATATGTACCTTCAATCTCTAGATATGGGACTGTCAGGTGTCCTGGGAGTTCTGTAGCATTTAGTGTTTAATAAGCAATATCATGAATGATAGTAACTTTAGGAAGTAGCAGAAAACTTGAATCTACTTAGAAGACAGCCAGGAAAATCAATAAATGATTATTAACTATTTATGAAAAGATTCTAAATCATTTAAAATACATGTAAAAACCTGTAGTACACCTTGGATGTTTTTATTCCCCTGCCCCTGCATTTTGCTTGTTTGTTTGTTTGTTTCGGCAATGAGATAAGAAAATATAGGAAGGACATCCAGGAGTGTCTGTATGAATAGCATTAAAAGGTGGACTGGTTGATACCTTTTCTTGAACTGAATTGGAAGTAGTCAACTATTTCTGACTCTTAAGAAAATCATAAATATTTAGCATTACCCTCAAGGACATTTGATACATAGGAGACTTGAAACACTGGTGTGCCAGAGACTGAAACTTATTCTAGAAAAGCTTTTGGCACTTGGAAAGGGTTCACATCGATTACAAGAATGTATTCTGCTGGCTCTGAAGTCACAGTTCTATTAACTAGTGATCAAAAATATTTAAAGGTTACTGTGTATTAATATCTAATTGTATCTAGGTATTTAGGTTGATTGCATCCAAATTTTATATTATGATAGTGGATATAATAAATCCATTTTAAAGTTTCTAAGAGAAATTTGTTATGGAGGACAAACACATTCTATATTCCTTTTGTCTCAGTCAACCTCACTGTGCGAAGTCTGCTTTTCATCCCACCAGTTTGCTCATCTTGCAGCATCATGCCTCACAAGGAAGGAAATTGCCTCTGGAAAGTAAGGGTGCCCTCAGCGCTGGGAAGGGAGGTCAGATATTGCCACATCAGGTGAAACAAACAAACAAGAACCCTGTAACATGGTTTCAAAAAGGACTTTCTTTCATAGTGTTCACTTCTTTTGGGTCCTTTGGCTTGGAAGCTACAAGGATCAAAGTCAGGGAAAGCCGTTGAGACAGCCTGCTGGCCTCCCTACGGCACAGGCTGGGCGTGGATCCCCCGGAGCCGGGGCTGGGTACCTGTGGCTGGCAGGTGCGGTGGTTCTCCGGGGGGGTCCTGCAGCAGGTACACAGGGTGGGCGACTGTCCTCTTTACTTGCCTGGACTCTCAACAACTCTCCCTTCACAGCGTCTGAAACCCAGATTAAACCTGGAAATTAGCTAGTGCAATTCATTTACTAGAGGTAAAAACCAAGACCCAGAAAATATGAGACTCTCAGCATCTCTCGTGTATGTTTAAATGTCAGGATAGGATTGATGCTTTCCTGGTGTGGGACTTGGCCTGGGGAGGGTATGTGGCTCTGACTGTGCCAGATGTGTGTGCCTTCAGCCCCCGACGGAGGCAGCCCTTCTGAAAGCCGCAGCCTCACCTCAGTTCCCTGCGCCCCAACGACGCTGAGAAAGGCGTTTGCGGGTGGGAGGTCAGTGCACAGGCTCCTGGGGCCCAGAGAGACCGTCTGTGGGGTCCGGATGGCTCTGGGAATGAGAGCGAAAGCGAACCTGACAGAGAGGATGGTACTGGCTTTGAGTGTGCATTTTTCTTAATTATGTTAATTAAGTCTTAAAAGGAAACTGTTCTAGGAATAGTCCCCGGAGGTGCCCAGATCCCGCTCCTCAAAAGGTGCGTCTCGCTGAACTGCTAGGACGCAGGCCCATTCCACGGGCCCTTCACCTCCTGTGTCTTATGTGAGGGTTTCTACAGGAGGGAGGGTATCCTGAGAGAAGAAAACCGAGCGGGAAGAGTCAGAGGGAAGGCCGCGGTGTCCTCTCTGTAACTCGGGGCCCCCTGAGGACAGCTTCCTTCGGGGGCTCCCCTGGCGTCTCCACCAGTCCTGACATCCCCAGGCGGCGTGGACGGGGCTCCGGCTCACCTGCTCCGCTGCCCCCAGGGAAGGCGGCGTGTGGAGCCCTGCCCCAGGGCTGCCCTCGGGGAGCACACAGCACTCCGCTTCCTCCCCGGGACCCCGCGGACCCCCTGCAGCACTCTGTTCAGAATAGAAAAGGGCTGCTCTGGGCCGGAAACCTGCGGCGTGCGGCTGCACAGAGCGCAGAGCATTCCCTTCTCCGCTCCTTCCTTTATTAGTGGGGCCAGCAAACACCACCTCCGGTCCTCAGGGACCGGCCCTGGGCCCCAGTCACCCTCTTTCGCAGCTGGGTCTACGCTGGGGGCCGATGCGGCGCGGAGAAGACCTGCATTTCAGGCCGAGAGCAGCGGCCTGGCTGCGCGCAGGGAAGCCCTCTCAGCCCGCAATCCCGAGGGACCGCGGACAGCCGCGCTCTGCGGCGCGGGGATTTAGCGCCGAGACCTGGGCCGGCTCTTGTCCGCCCTCCAGCGCTGGACTGTCCAGCCCTCACGCCGGCCCCCTGCCCCTGCCCTGCACGCGGTCAGAAGCACAAGCTCACGGAGACCTCAGGCGGCCTGACTGTGCCTCTTACCTCTTCCTATGCTGAAATTTCATTTCTTTCTTTTCTGTGTACAAAGCTCCCTTTGTAGTACAGTTATAGCTATCTGATTTGAAAAGTATCATGATGTTCTGTTGTAAATATTAAAGTTACTAAGTTTATTTTTATGTACCCCAAACACAGAGAGACTATAATCTTTTCCGCTAAAATAGTCATAAGAATTTGTAGCCTCATACTTCGGTTTGAGGAGAGACAATTGGTTCTAAACCTGTTCTGAAGTTTCTGTTGATGAACTCATTTCTTCTCCACTGCTTGTTATTAAAATGTGAGTATTGAATTTAAACTCTAATACAGTTCTCACTCTTTCTGCAGCACCTGAAATCCTTAGAGGCTGTGCCTATGGACCCGAGGTGGACATGTGGTCTGTGGGAATAATCACCTACATCTTGTAAGTGAATAGCATACTATTTCCTTTTGCTATCGTATCTTCTAGTTACTTATGTGTGCATGTATGCTAAGTTGCTTCAGATGTGTCCAACTCTTTGCGATCCCACGGACTGTAGCCTGCCAGGCTCCTCTGTCCATGGGATTCTCTAGGCAAGAATACTGGAGTGGGTTGCCATGCCTCTTCCAGGGGATCTTCCCAACCCAGGGATCGAACCCAGGTCTCCTACATTACAGACAGATTCTTTACTCTCTGGACCATCAGGGAAGCCACGTCCCTGTGTTATATCAGGGCTTANGGCAGGAGGAGAAGGGGATTACAGGGGATGAGATGGTTGGATGGCATCACCAACTCAATGGACATGGGTTTGGGTAGACTCTGGGAGTTGGTGATGGAAAGGCAGGCCTGGCATGCTGCAGTTTCTTGGGGTCGCAAAGAGTCGGACATGACTGAGAGACTGAACTGAACTGACTGAACTGAATGAGCATGAAACCAATCCATCTATTAAACTTGCTCTTGTTTTACTTACGTGTACATCATCCAAACAATAAGAGTATTATTCCTTTTTAAGGGACAAATGGTTCTGTAACCTCTGAAGCAATCCCAAACTGATGTATGTCTTATCAGGAATGTTTTAAAGGCATTTTGACTATCAGTTTTATTTCCTATATGTGTTAAGTTCTCAAGGACCTTCAGTATAATACCCTGAACTCAGGGAAAACTTCTCTCTGGTAGAAAAAAAAAATGGGCTAAATCTTTCACTCTCTGGTATCTCCAGCTCCGTTTCTAAGCTCCTATCTACTAATAAAGCAGGGGCTTCAGTCTGCCAAAGAGATGACGGAATTGCAGACAAACACGAAGGAAATAGCCTAGCGTGACGGGAGATGTCCGGTGAGGAAGCTTGCCTGCAGAACCCCTGCGAGAGCAGCACCTCAGTGAGCTCCAGAGCTGGAGCCGCAGCAGGCGGATCTGACGTCGGAGACACTGCAGGGCTCACTGCTGCGCGTCTGCCGTGCGCACTCTGTTGTGTCCGGCTCTGTGACCCCATGGCCTGCAGCCCACCAGGCTCCTCTGCCTGTGGGATTCTCCAGGCAAGAACACTGGAGTGAGTTGCCCTTTCCTTCTCCGGGGGATCTTCCCAACCCAGGGATCGAACCCACATCTCTTGCGTCTCCTGCATTGACAGGTGGATTCTTTTTTTTTTCCCCCTGGTTTTATTTATTCATTTATTTATATTCCATTTATTTTTACTAGTTGGAGGCTAATTACTTTACAATACAGGTGGATTCTTTACTACTGCACCACCTGGGAAGCCCAAGTTAATTGTTGGAACCTGTATTCTTCAAATCTGTAAAGAGATTTTGAAGGGTGTGAAAGAAAGTGAATTAGGCAGCTCAGGCTTTATAACAAAACACAGAGACTGGGTGCTGCAGAACTGCCAAAATGGAGTCTGGAGGTCAAAGGTGCTAGTAGCTCAGGCCCTGGTGAGAGTGGTCTCCCTGGCTGCGGACAGCTGCCTTCTCCCGTGCCCTCCCGAGGCAGGAGCACGTCCTGTGGGCCCTCCTCTGTGAGAGCGCCGACCACAGCACAGGGTCCCACCGCCCTGGCCTCATCCCCAGACGCTGTCACGCCGGGGCTTAGGGCCTCAGCGTCCTGACTGGGGAGAGCACAGCTCAGTCCATAGTAGGAAGGCGTTCAATTTGGTTAATTTAATTGTGATCCTAGAAAGTGCAGTGTCTAGGTAATATGGGCTAGGAAGAGGGTAACTAGGGTAGACTTCCAAGCAAGTTAGCAGACTCCTGATTTCACCGGGGTTTATATATTGGTCAGTAGCAACCACAAAAAGGTTTAACAAGCACACCCTAAAATAGTCATCTGCTGTTATGTAATGTCAAAAGATATTTTCAGTGATCACTTCCCTGTGTTTCCAGGATATATTTAAGCTTGAAAAGAACTTAGAGAGCTAGGGAACCATGTTTTTTCTTATGAAAGTGCAAACTTTTAGGTAATTTGTTTGCCACATTTAGTGCCTAATTCATTAGTAATGAATTCATAAAGTCACGTCATAGAATTCCTTCAGCTTACATTTAAGATCACTACTGTGCTATGGAAGAAGGTTGTCTCCTGAATTGTGTGGGTGACATATTATGCTTAGTGATGTTCAGTGAAAAACTGAACTACAAATATTGCTTCATATTTGCCGCTAAAATGTAAACGTACCCACCCAAGTAGAGTTTCTTACTGAAATGTGATGAAAGGGGTTGAAGAATTAACCATATGTAATAACTCAGAGAGATCAAGGTAGGAAGTTTCATAACATGTGCCCTGGAAACCTGAAATATGGAATGAGTGAAACTCCCATGTTACTAACACGGGAAAGTGAAGAGAAAAAAAAAAAAAATGTGACCGTTGGAGAAGCATCTTATAACCCTGAAAATAATTTTAAAAATCTATCAGGTTTCTTTCCCATCGTTCACTTAAGCCCATTAGTTGAAAGTTGCTGGCTGAGTAAGTGGTAGCAGCTAACAGTGCCACTCACAGCTAATGTCCTTTAGTTCTGTGTCTGACTTCTCTCAGCCCCTAAGCCTAGGGACTTTTTATTTCATCTGTAGTCCATTAATGATTGATGAAGTCCACTAGGCAAGGCTCATTGGAACATTTTCTCCAGTGGATTGTGCCATTGGGTTTATGTACCTCCTTTATTATTATTAAAAGTTCTACCCAGCTATTTTGTGCTATGACCGTGCTATTTCTAAGGATGACAGTAGCTTGGCCATTCTGTTTCTCAGAAGAATTCTGTTCCTTCTACCTACTAAACCGAAGCCCTTTATCCCTACAGACCAAAGCAACTGCTGTGGTTTTCAGGTCAGAATCAATAACATCAGAGATGCACACTCTCCCCTCCAGCTTTCAGCACTGTGCCTGCCGGGCGGCTCGGAGCCCCTGCTCACGCACCGGCCTCGGGCCTCAGCTCCTGTGCGCCCGCCGCGTCCGGTCCTCACTGTGCCCGAGCGCTCGGCTGCTGCTCCGAGTCTGCTCCTCCCGGCTCCACCCTTCAGGCTAATGACCTAAACTGTTCGCTCTGTCGCGGTGCACAGGTTTGCTGACGTGTCCAGGACGACAGGAAGGCGTCTGAGTGCCGCACCTGCAGAGCTGCCATTTTTCCCTCTAGACGCCGGAAGAGGGAGCGTGCGACTTTCCTCAACTAAGCCTGGGCGGCTGGCAGCATTCCCGCGAGTCGCGGGCAGCGGCCGCGTCTGATGGAGGCCGGGCTGCAGGCGCCGCGCGCCCCGCTCCTCTGCTGGAGCCGCGTCTCCCCGGGGGCCCCCGCAGCGGCCGCGTCTGATGGAGGCCGGGCTGCTGGAGCCGCGTCTTTTCTGGGGGCCCCGCAGTGCTGGGGGCGCCCAGCCCGGCCTCAGTACTCCCGAGCCTCGCCTTTAGCCGGCTGGCTCTGCAGAATTTGAAAGATACCAGGAGTATCGAGCGGGATCCCTGAGCCAAAGAGCAGGAGAAACTGCTTCCTCTTCAACACCTGCCGGATCCGCTGGACTGTTTGACGCTCTGCCGCCGCCCGGCCAGTTTGATGCAAGGATTTGGGGAAATGTTTCTGTGTTCATTCTTTTTCCTTCATTCTTTGTCACGTGAAACATACGCCCTGGCAAGGACTTCTTCTTTTTTTTACAGTTCCCTTTTGGTCTTCAGTGATTTAGAACCTCCCCTCACCTGTAAGCACTAGAGGCTTAGTGGTCCCACCAGCAGCTCACTTTTCCTGTCTCTCTTTTTTATGCCAAGGGTGGTTCTGTTTCTTTTCTCCCACATTTTTACGTGACCGTGCTGGAAGGTGACGGTGGTCGTGGTGAGATGTCTGCGATGTGCAGAAGCGAGGCTCGCGTGCCTGGCCGCGATCCTCTGGGCTGCATCGCCTGCTGCAGTCAGTTCAGAAGGCCGTTCCCCGCCGCCGGGGAGGCTCCTGTCTGTGTTCACGCTGAGACCCAAACTGGAGTGGGATGGAAAGCCAGCACGTTTTTCATCTCTATGGAAGAATTCAGTGAAAAGGACTGAACAAAAACGACTAACAACTTTTCTTTGCACCTTTTGACCTTTTTATTCTCAAAATCTTAACTTTAACATCTTATGATAAATTGGAACTCCAATGTGTCCTCTCAATTCCTGGTGGAAAAAAACACGTGGAAAGAGCACTATAGCATAATGCTGGTAATAGTGTTGGCCATTATAATATTATTGTTGTTTTGTATCATAATTATTGATATGACTATAACTTTTTGTAGAAATCTTAAATTGATTTTGTATCTATTTTTCTTGCCTGGAAAATCCCATGGACAGAGGAGCGTTGTAGGCTACGGTCCATGGGGTCACAAAGAGTTGGACACGACTGATTGACTTCATTTTCACTTTCACTTTTTCACTTTTACTTCTCTGAAGATTTGATTGTGTATTTATATACTCATAAATGAATTGTAACAAGGCAGTTGCACACTTAAGCTTAGCAGAGGTACATTGATCACAGGAAGCTGTGAAAAAGGACAGTATTGAATTTCTGCCAAAAATTGGTGACATACACTTAGGCTTTTAAAGGCATTTTATCTTGTATCTTTTGTCCTTCTAGACTTTGTGGATTTGAACCATTCTATGATGAGAGAGGTGATCAATTCATGTTCAGGAGAATTCTGAATTGTGAATATTACTTCATCTCTCCCTGGTGGGATGAAGTATCTCTGAATGCCAAGGATTTGGTAAGTGTGACTGAAACAAAATGAAATAAAATCCCTTACATTGATTTTTAAAATTAATTTATGGGCAGTGCCATTTTAAAAGTTAATCTCTCTTAGTAGCTTATTTCTTATTTTCCTTATAATGAAAAAACCTTGATTCATCTCTAGCTGAATTATCACAAATTACTGCTTATTAATTAATGAGTTTTTATCATCTAGTCAGTGTAATATAGAACCTGCAAGCTATGAAGCTATGCAGACAGCTGTGCTGGGTGACTCCAAATATAATATACCCAGATGAATTATTTTTTAAAATGGCTTGCTGTCACCTAGATTAGTTATACTTTGAATAAAGCAACATTATTTCTTGAAATGTTCAAACTTATTAAAATATCCTGATGGTAACACAAGTCCTATCTCGCATGACTATCATAAATGAGTCACATTGTGCGTTTTGTTCAGTTTTTCGTTTGTTTCACTGACTTCTCACTTCTGGTAGTATTGGAGTTTATCTTTATTCAGGACGGGTGGGGCACTGGCCTATCCTCTGGGGCGCTGGCCCACTGGTTCTAAAATAAAGAAGATACTGGGGTGCCATTGAAGCTTTTACCATCAATTCTTTAGAGCTGTTCTCCTCAATCTTTTTGGCACCAGGGACCAACTTTATGGAAGACAATTTTTCCATGGACCGGGGGTAGAGAGGCTAGTTTCAAAATGATTCAAGCAGATCACATTTACTTTGCACTTTATTTCTAATCTAATACTGCCGCTGATAAGACAGGAAGTACCAGTCCCCAGGGCGGAGATTACGGACCCCTGTTCTAGAGAGAAACCACACAGAAATGATGAAAAACTGACTTCTGAATCATAGAAGATTAGATCTCCAAGGATCTCAGGACTCATTTAATCTTTCCTGAATTTTAAGGATGAGTTTGCTCAAGCGCAGAGAAGTGATGCACAGTTTCCCAGCAGAAAGGCCTTGCTCTGCTCCAAAGGAAGGATCCAGATTTCTGGACCCCTTCTCCAGGGCTCTTTTCCCTCCTTACCATCTGTGTGCTGTGAAGAGGTCATGACATTTCCAGCAGGGTCTGAAGAGAGGCAGCCTGTGTGATGCGGAGATGTCGCCACCTCCTCCCTCGCGCCCCCTCTCCTGAGCGTCTCCGTGTCCGCCTGTCTGTCCGCTCCACCGAGAGGCCCCCGGCCAAGGCCCCCCCCCCCTCCCAGATCCTGGCCGCGGCCTCTCACCTGCCCTCCCTGCCTCTTGCTGCGCGTCTGCAGTGCGCACTCCTCGCGGGACCCAGGGAGCGGCCTCACTTGGGACTGGGGTCCCCTCCGCTCCGCGGCTCATGGCGCCCCGGCCCGCATTCCTCGGCGCGCGGACCCCCGTCCTGGCACTTCCAGATCCTGGCCGCGGCCTCTCACCTGCCCTCCCTGCCTCTTGTTGCGCGTCTGCAGTGCGCGCTCCTCGCGGGGCCCAGGGGGCGGCCTCACTTGGGACTGGGGTCCCCTCCGCTCCGCGGCTCATGGCGCCCCGGCCCGCGTTCCTCGGCGCGCGGACCCCCGTCCTGGCAGCGTGACTCTGGGTGCTCTGTGCTGTGCCTTCATCCTCCCTGCTCATTCCTCTCCAGCACGCACGCACACACATACACACACACACACACAGAGACCGCTGTCCTCGGCATGACTCCGGGTCTGGGCCACTGCTCCTCCATCCTCTGTGATGCCCCTCCGTCGTCGTCCTCCTCTTCCCTCTCCACCACAGACACCCACAGACATACAGACACACAGTCACACACACACAGAGACACACACACAGACACACACACACACACACACAGCCCTCTTTACACGGGTAGCGCATCTTAGTGTGTTTCAGTTGAAGGATAACGCTTCCCAGTGCTGGTGCTTTCTGCCGTGCGGCCCACGGATCCGCTGGGCGCGCGTCCCTCCGTCGTGAGCCCCCCGCCCCTGGGTCTTGGAGCCCTGGCTGCCGCTTGGCCTCTGAGGAGACCTGGGCTTCGGGGGCGCGCCGTTCTCCTCACAGTCGGTTCATGCCTCCTGCCGCTTGATCCTCCGGCCCAGGCTTCCTTTCTCATGATGGGCATCATTTCTATGTGATGTGCTCAGAGGTGTTCCTTAACGAGGTTCAGGCTCTGGCAGAGGATGAAGCAGGTGGGCCCAGATCTTAGTGCCATGTGGACATGAAGTGCAGGCTCAGTAAATGTTCCTTGAATGAAACCATCAGTCAGGAAATGGACCAAGGATTCTTAGAAGTCCGACATGCCTGGGTTCAATCCCCCCACCCCTCCTAATAGTTGCAGCTCTGACTTGGTGCTGACCTAACCCTTCTGTGCTTTGGTTTTCTTCTCTGGATGGTACTGGCACCTGTCCTTAGGTCTTTGGAAGAATTAAGGGATGTGATACATACTAAGTAGCCATGAGTGATGGTTACTAACTCAATGATAATCGCATTAGTTAGCCCCCTTCTGTTTCTTTTTATCTCTGATAAAAAGTTAAATAGATAAGAGGGTTAGCTGTGGTGTTCATTCAGCTATACCTCCTGTTGGTTAAAGCATTTACATAACTTCAGAACTAAAGGAGTCTTTGAGCCCCTAAATAAAATACTTATTAGCAAAACCTGCATCTGTTCTGTCGTGGTGCATAGGGAGCTGGTCTGTAAGCAGAGCTGTAGGACAATGGCGCATCTTTGGGTCTGAATCCTGATGAGGTCACTGAGTCTCTCTGATCTTCAACAAGTTTCTTAAAAACTCAGTGCATCAGTGTCTCCAAATGTAAAGATGAATGATGACATATAAATTTTTGGTGTAGATTGGCTTTCCATAAATTCTTTGTATTTTCAAGTAGAAGAGAATGGTGATGATAGGGAAGAGGAAACAGATGATTACAAAATGAGCGTGAAGTATCTAATTGTCAAGGATGTTTTAAGGATTAGGTAACACTCATATGAAATTATTAGTGTATGTATCCAACGATGACAGCTCTGACCACCATCAAATCTGTTACTGCTGTGCATTCTTCTTCCTAATTATTCTTCAGCTCCCTCCACCTCCTCGCTGACTTTAAGCCAAACAGTCTCAAGATTGTTCCCTTTTCAGATGCAGTGTATCTATCCCACATACATTTCTTTGCAAATGCTGCAAAACAGAAAGTGAAAGGAGACCAGATATTCATTCTTCATTTGACTAGCTTCCTAATTTTGTTAGCCTGTGTTCAGTTTTTGGATTTTTGAGTTAGAAAAGATCTTATGCCTTAAGTCATCCAAAGTCCCTCATTTTACTCACCAGCAGACTGAAACTCAGAAAGCTTGTCTATCTTGAAGGCACTGTGGTGTCATGGCCACAGGACAAATTCTAAGACAAGACAAACCCTAGTATGAGTATAGCCCCCACCAGTTACATGAGGTTTTACGTTCCACGAATCACTAAATCTTTGAGCTTCCTTCCATCCCTCACTCATGAATTGGAGCTAAAGTTACTAATTGATAAGGATATGGATAGGATTTCATTTTTTTTTTTAAAAATGTTGCATGCCTGTAAGAATGTATTTACAAGGAAATTAGGGTGGAAATTAGGTCGTGTAAGAAGAGGGCCCAGGAGGGTCCATAGTCACTAAGTAGGGGTGGGAGGGTGTCTGAGGTCAGACACATGTGGGTCTTTGAGGTCACAGAAGTAGAGGCTTTGAACAAGTTAGCACTTAAGCATGCCTCCTGACTTCAGGTAGTCTCTGCCTCATCCCAGGTCACCCCTCTGAGCCCAGGGCTCAGAGGATTATTTTGGTTGTTGAACTCCCTGGCAATTCATTGTCTGCTCATGCTCACCATCAGGGGTAAACCTCCCAGAATGGGCTACAATTCATTTGAATTCAGTCCTTTTTAAACAAACCATATCCCCAAACCACTGACACCTTTTCTTTGATTCTAAGTAGGCTTTTACCCCAGCTCTTGGCATAGTCCTTCAAGTATCCTCAACATATATAAGAGGCTTATGAAAGCTTCCTGATGGGAAGATCAAATTGCCAACATCTGCTGGATCATCAAAANTCTAGTCAAGGTTATGGTTTTTCCAGTGGTCATGTATGGATGTGAGAGTTGGACTATAAAGAAAGCTGAGCACTGAAGAATTGATGCTTTTGAACGGTGTGGTGTTGGAGAAGACTCTTGAGAGTCCCTTGGACTGTGAGGAGATCCATCCAGTCCATCCTAAAGATCAGTCCTGAATATTCATTGGAAGGACTGATGCTGAAGCTGAAACTCCCAATACTTTGGCCACTTGATGCGAAGAGCCAACTCATTGGAAAAGACCCTGATGCTGGGAAAGATTGAAGGCGGGAGGAGAAGGAGACGACAGAAGATGAGATGGTTGGATGGCATCACCCACTCAGTGGACATGGGTTTGAGTAAACTTGGTGATGGACAGGGAGGCCTGGCCTGCTGCAGTCCACGGGGTCGCAGAGTCAGACAAGACTGAACGACTGAACTGAACTGATCCTCAAGGGCTTAGAGAATACTATGAACTCCATGATAGGATTGCGGTGTGATCATAAAGGCTGTGACCCTGCCCCCTCTTGTTTGCCCTTCTATCCCCACAGAAGGAATGACGGCTACATGAATGATCCATCTCCCCTGAGATGTAGTTTAAGTTCTGAATTCTAAGTAATATGAAGTTGCAACCTAGAATTATCCAGATGCTGGTTCCCACTCAACGTACGTGCAGTTCACAGGCAAGGCAAGCCTTGTTTCTCTGATCTGTGGGCAACTGTCTGCCAGTCTGGGCTCTCGGTTCACACACACCACTCTCTTTTCAGACTCCTCAGCTACTGCTGCCTGACGCCATCCCCACAGTGACCCCTGGGGGCTTAAAAAGGTTGTTTAATGTATATTTAGTGCACTGCCAAGGAGATAGGATAATAACATATATTTAGTGTATTGCCAAGAAAATTAAATAAGACCTAGAAGTTCACAGCTGAGGGGCAAGCCCAGGTAACCATGAAAATCTCCCTAAGAAGTCAATGGTTCTTTATCATTTCAGGTCAGAAAATTAATTGTACTGGATCCTAAGAAAAGGCTGACTACCTTTCAAGCTCTCCAGCACCCATGGGTCACAGGTAAAGCAGCCAATTTTGTACACATGGATACGGCTCAAAAGAAGCTCCAAGAATTCAATGCCCGGCGCAAGCTCAAGGTTAGATGGCATTTATTTTGTTTTATTTTTTAAAAAATATTCTCTCATATCTTGCTAATCAAAGATAATTCTGCTATTGTCTGTCTAATACTGTTATTTGTCTGCTGTGGTACCTGGGAAAATGCTGCTTTGAAATCCCAACAGTGATGATATAAAGCCAACCACAGTTCTGTTATCCTCTTGTAAGAATTCAGTGTGGGTTTTATTTTTCTGTTTGGGGAATTTTGGGGGAGGAAATGGCACTAGGCAGCTTTTGAGACTCTTAGTGAAGCACTGAGTCCTACCACTGACCATCAGGGAGTTCCCAGGATTTATTGTCAATAAAGGGAAATGTGTGGGATGTTGAGATTCACTCACCAAATAATACATTGTCATTGCTTCCCATTTAATTAAGGCTGAACTGCTTGAAAATGTTGTTCAGGAAACTAATATTTATTAAGAGAGTTGTCTTCTTTCTGATATGCAAAAATTGGGAAACAATTTTTTCCAACTATATTTTATAATATAGGCAAATTATACTTGATAAAAATTAAAATAATTCAATTGATAGGAAAATTATCCATCAAATTGTAGCTCTTTTTATAGAACATATATGGAATAGAGATGAAGTGTTTTTCTCCTACATAGTAGTATTTAGGACTAGCTATACATATAGGAGGGCTTCCCTGATAGCTCAGTTGGTAAAGAATCCACCTGCAATGTGGGAGACCTGGGTTTGATCCCTGGGTTGGGAAGATCCCCTGGAGAAGGGAAAGGCTACCCACTCCAGTGTTCTGTTCTGGCCTGAAGAATTCCCTGGACTGTGTAGTCCATGGGGTCCCAAAGACTCAGACAGGACTGAGTGACTTTCACTGAGATTGATACATATAGGAAATCTCAGAGGACAGCTGGGGATGAAAAATAGTGTTCTATTCAGTAGTCGCTTACAGGTTGATACAAACTAAATAAACCTGAAGGGTTCATGATCAAATTAATTTGAAATGCCCTAGATTAAATACCCTTGACTTAACCCAGAATTTCTGAAACAAATTTGACTGTGGAACTCTCATATCTTAATAGTACCTATCAACATCCATGGAACTCATGTCGCACACTTTGGGAAACACAACTAAAATTTTTGAGTATTGGCAATCCGTGGGAAAGTGCATTTATTTAGGCTTTCATCCAGATGACTAAATACACTAATCTGAGATTAAACAGATTTTGCTGTTCATTCTTCAAAGAAGTTTTCATTAGACAATCTTGGAATCATACACTTTCCAAGACTAAATAGTAACAGAATAACACTCCCTAAACGCAAACTTGAGATCAAGCTCTGATTTGGGATTTTCAGTGGAAGTAGCACTGACCTCTCTGTCTCCCCAGGCGGCGGTCAAGGCCGTGGTGGCCTCCTCCAGGCTCGGCAGCGCCAGCAGCAGCCACAGCAGTGTCCAGGAGGGCCGGGCTAGCCGGGAGCCGTCTCCACCTCAGGCCGGCGACGAGGGCGTCCCGGGGGGCGAGGGGCCCCCGGCGGCAGCTGAGGGGGCCGGGGCGGAGCTACCGGAGGTGCAGGCGGGGGAGGAGGTCAGCGGTGATGATGGAGACCCGGCGGCCCCCAGGATGGAGCCCGCGGCGTGGGAGGAGGAGATGGAGGGGGCCGTCCTGGAGACGGAGGGGCGCCCGGCCGGGGAGACGCGGGTGACTGCTGGAGCTGCGGCAGCCCCTGGAGGACCAGAGGAGGACCCTGCCCTGGAGGTCGGAGCTCAGCAGGGTGACGCGGTCCTGCCAGAGGACTAGTGGCTTTCTTCCTATGTGGGAGCCAAATCCGGGCACTTTGTGCGTTTTGTCCTTCAGCAAGGAAGGTGGAAGCATGATGTGCACTATAGTGTGATTCTGTTTCTGAGGTGAAAAAAATACATATGTATCAGTTGGTAATCCTAACTTCAATGCATGTGACTGCTTTATGAAAATATAGTGTCTCCTATGGTACGTAATGGATATCAGATACTGATGAATTAATTAAATTTGAAATTGCAAGTAAACACAACATATCAAAACATACATTTTCAGGGACCAGTAGTGCACATTTGAGGTAAATACTAACAAATTGTTTTTGCTTTGAAAACCTGGCTATCCTCCACCCTTTGGATTTCTTCAGAAGGTAATTCCTTTGGACTGTTGCTCAGCTAATACTAGGTAGAGCTATAAGATGTATTCCCATGACATTTACAGTATCTTCAGTAATGTGTTCAAACTGTTTACAAGAAGATGGTTAGGTTATAGTTGTATCGTGCGTGCAAAAAAATTGCATATATACCACTTATAATGGTAAGAAACTGAAGCATATTTTAAGGGCTATGAAACCATATGCCCGTAAACCTTGTGTGGAGAATGCTTTTTTATCTTGTCTTTATTTATATACACCATATTACTAATAACCCAAAATGTTCTATCACAAAATTCTGCCATTTTATAGTCCTGGAAAAAAGTCTTTTACAAACTCATGCTGAGGAATTTATTCTCACCTTCACCTGCTCTCTAATAAGAAGTCCTTATGATGGACAGCACTTAGAAGTTGGAAAAAGAAACTTAGTGAAAAAAGAAAAACTGGAATTAGACTGTGAAGACTGACTTTGCCACTTCAAATAAAATTGAATTTATTCATGAGCTTGTACAGTTTTAAAAATAGGAACATTTTTATGGATAAATTCTATACTAACCAAGGTTCTAAATTTATAAAAAATCTATACGAATGGCTGGTGCAAAAATGTCTGAATAGAATGAGAGTAATATCCCATTGTAAGATCATTCATTATTTAATTCACTATAGTAAGGAAGGGGCTTCCCCAGTGGCCCAGCGGTAAAGAATCAGCCTTCGATGCAGGAGATGCGGGTTCGATCGCTGGATCAGGAAGATTCCCTGGAGGAGGAAATGGCAACCCACTCCAGTATTCTTGCCTGGAAAATCCCATGGACGGAGGAGCCTGGTGGGCTACAGTCTATGGGGTCGCGAGGGATCGGATACAATTGAGCATGCACACACATAGTAAGGAAACATTTTTGTTTATAAAAGTTCTTTTTTCCTTCAACTGATGGTTCTTTAGATACATTGCTTATGGGCTAAAGATATTTCTAAAAAGCTAGTATACTTTTTTCTCATGCTTGGAATGGAAGCACTCATAATTCACAATGTAGTTTTGAAAGTTTCCATGTTGAAAAATTTAGGGCAATGCAACTTTTCATTTAGTTTAATAAACAAAAACAAAGGGAAAAAATAAACTTTGATTTAAAATCAGACTCTTGAGAAGCTGTAACATTAGACCTAATACTTCACCATGATTTTTTTCAAAATATTTTTCTTTGGTTTTCATATAAACACTTTTTACTTATAAAAACTCACAGTTAAATTCCAAACATCTCAGATTTATCTCTAGTTTGAGCTTAAATGGACATTTTAATCAACTTAGTTATATAGCATATTTTAGTAGGTTTCCTTAATTTAAAAAATTATTTTCAGGCCAAAATTTTGGACAATAAAAATGACTATCAGATAAAAATCCTCATCAAAAAGAGAGATCTTAAATTCTTTTGGTGCTTCCTCAGAACTATTAAGTTGGAAAATTAAATTAAACCTCTGGATTCTGGGGACTGTCAGACCTTGTAGACGTTCTACTTTCCAAGTGCAGGTCTTAACTTCACTACTGTTCTCATGAGGAAAATAAAGTAGGACTTCTTGTCTTCCCTAATATAAGGGCCTGACGGGTCACTGACATGGAGGAGAAGGCCCGCAAGGCACACACGTATGAGCATCTGAGAAAGAGCGCTTTTGTTTGTTTTATGTTTATTGACTAGTAGAGACTATTTATCTTCTTTACTGTCTCTTTCCTTCTTTATTCTCTCAGTTTCCGTCTTAGGTATTATAAGATGCTGACTAGTTTTAACCTTTTAAGAATGCCTTGTTCCCTAAGCATGAAGATTTCCGTTTTAATGGCTGAGTAATATTCCACTGTGTGTGTGCCACGGCCTTCTTAGCCTTTGTGTCCTTTCCCGGGGAGACTTCCCGTGAAGTCTCTCTACATGGTTAGCTGATAGATGGCACGCGCCCCACATATTTGGAAAAGGGAAGAAGAGAGGGAAAGGAATCTCAGTGGAATAGAGCATACAGTCAGATGAAGACACAGGGTCCCCCCAGCCCCTGTATCACCCCAGCCCTCGGGGCTGCCTGCGTGGGTCGGACCTGGGGACCGTGTTGTGTGAAGAGCGCTGCAGATCCAGGAGGCCAGCGTGCATTCAAGAATTTACCCAGTTACACCAGCGCACACACCCGCTCCCTGATGAGTGAGGGTGTGTGTAATTTCCTCTTTTTAACCTGCAGATTGCACTCTCTCAAAATCAGAGGGAGTTTTAGATTTTGATTTGAATGTTAAAAATTAAGACCTGATAATGCCTAAATGACTGAGAGTCATTTCAGTGGAAAACAAGCTTTCACAAAAATCTATCATTTCATCCAAATGATTCAACCTGAGATTTCATAGAGATGCTATTTAAATTACCATAGTTAACGTTTTTGAAAGAACAATACACATTTATATTCCCTGTTAAAATGGGATATATTATCTCTCTCAAAGAGTACTTAGCTAAATAATAGTAGGCTAATGCAGATAGAACCTTAATTTGATGAATTATTTTGTAATGTTTCCTTTATTTGATGATATAGTCACAAAGCAAAATAATCAAGGGAATTTCAGCAAACAATAAACTACATTTTGCATTTTAGAACTGACAGTTTTTATATTGCATTATTGATTTTTGTTCTCAAATAAGTTCAGATACATAGCATAAACCAGACTATTTTGCCACAGAGAAGGACATTCTTGAATTATTTTCCCCATTAACAAAGTCTAATTGGAATCCCAGTGGTTTTTTTTTCTCAAACCAGAAGAGCACATTTGTCCCACAAATACATAAGGTAGAAATTAGACACTGTTAGAGACGTTATTGTCTAGAAAAAGTCCCGCCTGATATGAATGATACAAGCCACATGTGTAATTTTAACTTTTCTCTTAGACACATTTTTAAAAGTAAAAAAAAAAAAAAAGCTGATAAAATTAACTGTATATTTTAATATATCCAAACTATTATTCTAATATATAATCAGTATGAAGAACTAACACAATGTTTTACATGTTTTATTTTTGTATTGAGTTTTGAAAAGTGGGATGTGTTAGCGTTTCGGTGCACCACGTGCCCAGCAGCCACCTGCGAGCAGCGGCTGCTGGTCGGGAAGAGCGCCGGGCCAGGGCACTGTGAGAGCGCAGGGACACGCGAGTGTCCGCGCGTGGGTCTGAGCTGCCTCCGTTTCCCACACTGGGCAGTTGGCAGGAGGCCGAAAAGAAAATGTCTCAGAAATGTCACAGACTTAAGTGAGCACAGTCTCTGTTGGCCACGTCTGTTCCATCAGGTGCTTCAGAGGAGGCGTGTCTCCCAGCGTGACTTCAGAGAGCAGTGCTTTCCTGCACGTCCGCTGGCCACAGCTCCTCTCATCCCTCTTTGGGCCCCGGAATCTGGACCGCAGGCCAGAGTCTCGGACAGCCACGAATCCAGTCATGTTCTCACAAACCAAAATCTACGGTGGGCGAACAGATTTCCTCATTCAAGAAGGGCTGCACATAGAACCTCAGTGGGATTTTGCAGGCTTCTGAAACACAGATTTACATGATAAAGACTGATGAAGATGACATCATCCCCGCTATCCCTAAAATGAGACTATGACCATCGGCTGACATTTTTTAGATTTCTTTAGAAGGATTTAATCAACACTGCCATTACACATGGATTCAAAAGACTTTTGGAATTTTCTTAAATATTGCTATGTTACAATAATCCTCAAGGTTCTATAGCCACTTTTAGTGGCAGATGTTAAAAGGAACAGTTTGCCTTTTACTGTGACCTCAATTACATAGTATTTTAACCATATTTTGTAATTTAGAATGTTTAGCAATCCCTATTTTTCTGGTTTCACATACAGGGTAACTGCTTTTGGATTGCCCATAGGCTAAAGATTTTAAAAAAGTAATTTTGTTTTTGTTTCATAATTCAGTTATTTCACAGAAGCATCTGGTTGCATTTCAAATTGCAAAATAAAAGAAGTAAATGTCAAAAAGACAAAAGATAAAATCAGTAAAGCATTATGTTTTAGGATTGTCTTTGCAAAGCAAATACAAAAAGTCAAAAAAGTGAATAAGCATTAGGTTTTCCCTGATGAGGCTGACTCCACATGAATTGACATAAGTATACTAAGCAGAGTCAATTGCACAATTACAATGCCGTTATGTAATTTACTTGTCGTTGCAGAGTATTCAGTCTGGTTACCAAGGTCTACTTTAGCTGGTGCAGAATTTCCAGACGTTTACTTGTATAATAGGATTTGTAATATCCTTGTAATTGCTTCCTGTTTGGTCACATTCAAATTTCCTCAGTGTTGATCACTGACATGTTTCTGATCAGGATCATTGCTAACATTTTGAGTGTTTATTGGTTAAAAATTGCTTACTGGTTAGAATTTCAGCATTTTTTAAAACATTTGTGCACATATAATCTCAATATTGGTATTGTAATACTCATAACCACATGATAAGCAGAAATGTAGCCAATAATTTTCTACAACTTTTTTTGTTCAAAGTTCTTCTCTTCTTCCCCTGGCACAACTCAGGGTGAGTTTCTGGCTTCTTGACAAATAGAAAACGAACCTAAAATATCACTGGAGTGATATCAGCTATCCACCCATGTTAACCTAGTTCAGCATTTCTTCTTTCTGTATCTGGATCTTTTAAAGGCCAGTTTTTGTCATTATTACTTTCAAATACCATCTGAGATCAGATAATATAGTCTCAGCTCATAAAGCCCATCCATTTATATACTTATCTTGGAGAGCAATAACAAACTTGACTAATTTTTGTTTGCTTGTTGAAAATTCTAATTTTCACACACTCTGTGGTGTGCTCTAAAAGGTTTGATTGCATGATTTTAACTTCAAGATCCAGTCTTTTCCTTGTCACCTGACCCAGAGGTCCACCTAGGACAAGACAGAAGTGTTGCCATGAGAACAGACCATCTGAGTCCTTGGCAGGAACAAGCATTGCTCTAGCAAAGACTCCGGGCATCTGACTTGATTGAGCTCAAATAAGCCAAATGGGAGAAAGCCTCTTCCAGTGATATGGCTTGAATGTTGGTACAGTGCCATAGTCTGTAATGGACAATGGAATCTCACCAATCATCTGCTCTTCTCAAGACTTGGTTTGCTACCACTTGTCCCAGATCAATGTTTTGTTCCATCCCTATGGCCATCAAGCTGCCTTTCAAAACTAAATCTTCTAAAATCCTAGAAAGTATCCCAGACTGGCTGAAGGAATGTGGAGCCCTTGGTGGCCAGAATTTAGTTTGAAACTCCAAATAGCAATTCTAAGACTGCAAAATCATGTTTGTCTTCTTAAATAATTGTTTTCAGCACATTTTGAAAAATGACCTGGAATGCCCATGGACATGGAATATTTATATCTGTGTTATCTTTACTGTGATTCACTTTGTTAAAAATGGCATGCAAATCTTCATCAGATTATATAATAATATTTATTTTCCATTTAAAAATTATTTTGGGTTATGCAAATACAGTAGGGTTCATCTTTGAATTTTTGAGAGCTGTCGTTTTCCCTAAGCACTCTGACCATCAGTTGCGGATGATGAAAATTTCCTAGGTTTGTCCTTTCCTCGAACTTCGCTTGATACAGGCATGGTAGTTAAGCTGGTTTGTAATGGATACAAGTAAGAAGGACTTTAATGTGACAACTGTCACCTCATAACTGCCTCTTTTTAACTTATTTTATAGCCTATCATGCAGCTAATACATAGTAGAATGCAAATAGCATATTCATGAGTTAAGATTTTGTTTCCATTTTCTGTCAAGATTGTTATTACTTTCAAAGTTCCCAAAATGTTTATACTCATGCACCCTTTTGAGCAAACTCCAGGAGATGGTGAAGGACAGGGAAGCCTGGCACGCTCCAGTCCACAAGGTGGCAAAGAGTTGGACACGACTGAGCAACTGAACAGCATCAACCCCTAATTTCAGTAATATTTTCAAGGCCACCCAGCAAGAATCGCCAACACGCCCCTTTATTAACTAGTCAGGTCCGAACAACGTAGTAGGCTTGCATTCCATGTCTGACTGACGTCACTCCGCCATCCGAACATGTAAACATGTCCTGAATGTTTCCTGGGGGCTCCCCTGGGGCTCAGACAGTAAGAATCCGCCTGCGATGCAGGAGACCCGGGTTCAGTCCCTGGGTCAGGAAGGTCCTCTGGAGGAGGGCATGGCAGCCCACTCCAGTGTTCCTGCCTGGAGAATCCCACGGACAGAGGAGCCTGGCGGCTGCAGTCCAGAGAATCTCAGAGTTGGATCCGGCTGAGGGACGAACACCACCTGACCTGAGTTTGCTGAGTGGGGTCAGCAGACAGGTGACGGGGGGTTAACTCCTTATGTTCAGTGAAATGTGGGTCTCATGCAAAGAGGATTCTTAGGAGAAAAGTTAGAGGCCAGTACTCTTTTCTTTTTTTTTTAAAAATTGAAAGCCAACAATTTGGTAACCGGGGGCCTTGGGAAAAAAAAAAAAAAACTAAAAGGGCAATAAAAAAAAAATAATTTCCACATAATTACACAAGGAAATAAAAATCTCCAAAGATCAGCTTTCCAAGAGTCAGGCAAACTATGGGTCATGGACCAAATATACCAGAGGCCTATTTATTTATAAATAAACTTTTATTAGAACACAACCATGCTCACTTAGTTATAGTTTGGCTGTAGCTGCTTTCACACTGCTAGGACACACTGGAGTGGTTCCCACAGAGACTGTGTGGAAAGCCTCATCTGGCCCTTTGCAGAAAACACTGATGACCCTGGTTTTTCACAGCACCCTACCTTTTTGGTAGCAGCTAGGAACAGTTTCCCGTACTCCAGACTTCTTCTTAGCATACGGTTCTTCATCCCATTTGCTTTTTAGGAAGTTAGGACAGGTCTCTTTCTGTGGAGAACAATAATTCTGTGAATAATTATTCACAGCAGTAATTTTGCTGGAAGTACGGCTTAGTAAACTTTCCCTACAGAACTAAAATTCAAAAAGGCATCATTCCTGAAAAAGTTTACAGTATGAATTGACTTGGTTATGATTCAGTATTGACCTGCTTATCTGTAGCTCAGGAAGCGGCAAACAGCTAACTTTTTACTTTACAATCCCTGTTTTTCTGAATGTCGTCATATATTTCATTTCTTCAAAAAGAGAAGGCTTTGAGCAAATGCTTTCCCTTCTTTTTCTTACTTATTTAGAAATCCAAGAGGGCCCCTTTCCTTAATCTATTTATGTCACAGAAAAACTGTTCATTTCACCTGCCTTAAGGGAAGCAGGGGCCCAGACACTGAGGATGTAGGTACCTGTGACCTTTGTGTTTGATTCTGAATATCTCTAGCCGAAAGGTTACAGAGGAGATGTTGAGTAGAAGACCTATTATCAACTTCTTATTAGGAATACCTAAAATTATATCATGACCGTAAATAACATACTGTTTTGTTTAAACTTGCAGCAATCAATATGCTGCAGCCACTGGGATACACTGTAGAACTCGGGAAAAAGAGACGAGCTGTCTGCTGGCTCCTCGCAACTGATGTGAGCAGGACGGAGCCTTTCCTGGAGTGGAGAGGGGAGGTAACCTGAGACCGGCTCCACACTCCCACCACCCGTTCTCCTCCACTGCCCAGGGTTTGAAGGCAGTTAGTCAATTAAGCTTATCATTTTTACCTCTCTCTCAATATCTGGGTCACCAGCTTCCCTTAGAAATGAACAAATCAAAGTCAATAGGTAATTTTCCTCCCAGAATAATGTTAAACACTGTGTTTAGGGAGAATCAGGCCTCCATCACAAATACACTTTAATGAAATGATTTAGTGGTTCTGAAGCTTTCTAGGAGCAGACCATGCCTGGAACCCATTTCCTCAATAAACTTTCCATGAAAAGCAATTAAGTACCATGAAAGAGTCAGAGTTGAATTAAACCCACACTCCCCTCTAGGAGTGAGCTTTGTAGTTGAAAAAGCAACTGTATCTATAACCTGTGCTCCACCCAGGCAGGCAGTGAAAGCTCCCTTTGCTTAGAATGATCAAAGAAAGCTTCCTGGGAACATCATCTAAACATGAGGAATGAGGGGAAGCTTTGTAGGCAGGGAAGAGGAAGAATATTTGGCTGAGAAATGTACCGAGTTGAGAAATGTGGTGAACAGTGCTAGGTATGAAAGGCTGAATCTGCAGGGAAGCGCTGCTCAGTGTGTGTAAGCCTAAATCATGCGCAAAGCTGAATCAGACAGGCTTCCTCTCCACTTTCTTACTCTGGGTAGATACCTGTGCAGCGTTCCCTCAGCATCTAGCCTTCTGTGATCTACATACCTGGCTGACTCGGTGCACCCCAAGCAGAACAAAAATCACCCAACACATAGAGACATTTTTGCAAGTCACCAGTTGAAACAAAGCCTCAGTCACTTAAAGCACAAACTGCATTGGCGAGGTCTCCGCTGACAAAGCGGAATAAAGGATGACAGTGGTTACTTGAGTAAATTTGGCAAAACTCCAGTACCTGAATAACTCCCTGTGACTCTACAACGTAACCTAACCACTTGCTAAAGCTTTGTCAACAGAGGCCTATGTCAAAGTTACTGCTTTTGTAGTTATTTTAACCTTTTAAATTATCTCATCTAAAAAAAAAAAAAATCTGACCTGAAAGGGCAAGTCCTGCGAGATCTGAGATAGAATTATAACTGGGAGTTTAGACTTCAAAAGATAACCTGTGCTAACCCTCAGACAACGGAATTTAAACCCCTCAGAGCTGCTTTCCCCAAACTCCAAGCTGGTCCTGTGAAGGCCTGTCTTCTCCCTCCCTCTGTTTTGCCCCTTAATACACCCTTCTGTAATTTCCTTTTTACTCATTGCAGGCAGTGTTTTACGTCCATCTTCAGGAAACTTGAAAAGGAAATAGGTAACAGTATATATACATTTAGGCATCTTGCCACTTTGCTTGTTTCAGATGACATCTGTGGTTAGTAAATGCCTTATGTTTCTCAGGGCAAATGAAGGAAGGGACAAAGGCTGACGGTCATCAGAGTGATGGAAGGGAAGCTAAGACAGACGCTGTGGGGACACAACCCCAGTGCACAGGCATTTGAGAAAGGAATACATCCTAGGAGGGTTTCCAGACTTAGGGGGCATTGTCTATATGCCTTCTCTGTTGTTTGTTTTCTTTTTTTGGGGGGGGGGGGCAGTCTGTATCACGTTACTGTTGAAAGTATTCTGGACTAAAGACCTAAGCAGCTCACAGCAGTGTGGAGGGTCAGGTGGAAGGATGGGATACCACTGTAGACAGGAATCCTACATCTGTAGGAGTTTAGACCGCAAGCCATGAGCCAAAACAGGTCCTTTGAAGGACAAAGAACAAGTGTCAAGATTTCAGTTTTCACAGCCGAGACTATCTGCCTTCCCAATTTCTGATTGAAAGTGCCGGAAGGAGAGCTGACAACATTTCATTTTTAAAACCTGTCAAAACGGTGCTATCAATCCTTAATACAAAGATCCATTACGGTGTTTTTTAGGTAAACCTGTAAGCGTGCCCTGGCCATAAGTGTAAATATAGAGAATGTCTGTAGAGAATTCATCGGAGTCCCACACGTTTGCTTTTGACCGAGCTGTGTGTGTCGTTCTCAGCGGCCGAGACGGCGGGGCGCCCGGCTCCGCAGACCCGAGAGCCCAGACTCGGCGCCCAGCCCGGGGACGCGGGGGGCGCGGCCGGCCGCCTTGCGGACTCAGGCTGGACGACGCACGCAGTGCAGCGGTTCAAATGCTCGTTGCCTGGTGCTTCCGGGAGGGTAACGGAGCGTGCGACACGAGCAAATGGATGTCGGGAGACTAACTGTCGGCATGACCTTAGCGGGGCCTGCGTTATTTTGTGTAAGCTCTCTCAGGTGTGTCAGAGCATGCCAAAAGCAGTGTGTACCTACTGCTGGGAAACGTGTCAAGCAGTTTGCATGTACAGTATGATAATAAATCATCAAAGAGCCCACCAATACTTTGTATTCTGTGGTTTGAAATGTTAGCACAATTCAAGAGTGGCGCAGTGGACATTTCCTTGTATCTGAAGTTCCTTGAGTGTTTTTCCATTCTCAGATAAAATTATACCCTGGGTTTCACAGCATTTTTAATAGTATATAATGATGTCATAAAACCATAAAGTTAAAAGAGGATCTTCGTACTCATTTAACCCAACCGGCTCAATTTATTAAAGAGAAGTAACAGCCAGAGAGAAATGACTTGTCGATGATCACAGTTAGTGGCAGAGATCTGGGCCGCCCACCTCCTAGTCCAGCATTCTCACAACTGAAAAGTCAGTTCACCAAAGTCAAGGCAGAAATTCATGTAAAAATTGATTTTAATTATAAAAAACAGAAAATACAGAAAAGTACAAAATTACCACAAGAATTCTTTCAAAGACAAGCATTGTCTTTTTTATCTAGCATTAGTTCTTACAGCCTTTATCATATTGCAACTGTTTTGTATCAACCTATATCACTATAGCACAGGCTTCCCAGGTGGCTTAGTGGTAAACAATCCACCTGCCAAGCAGGAGACCTGGGTTCCATCCCTGGCTTGGGAAGATCCCCTGGGGAAGGGAAAGGCTACCCACTCCAATATTCTTGCTGGGAAATCCCATGGACAGAGGAACCTGGCAGGCTATGGGATCACAAAAGGGTTGGACACAACTTAGTGATAAAACAACCACTACTATAGAAAGCATTTTTTGCATAATCTTCACAGACATTTGTGACAGTTGTGTAATAATCCAGTCTCAATTATTTTTTTCTCAGTAACATTACAGAAAGTTTTTCTGAGTTTGGGGAAATCTATCCTAAGGAAATAATCCTAATGTCGAATTGTCAGGCCAAATGAGACACAGTGGTCCCTTCAGGATGATTCTTTCAAACCTACAGGACCTGAGAATGAAAGGGAAAAGACTTTATTTTCACTCTTAAAACACTGATTGTTAGCAACAAGAGTTGTAAAAAGACCTGAAAGTTTTTCTTGAGCTTGGCTATCCAATCAGTTAGCAAACATTTGTGTAAAATATTTGAGGGGAAGGCGTAATATTTCAGTGAGGTTCCCTCTTAGAATTGCAGCTTGCTACCAACTACTACTAGGTCCAAAATCCTCACCTAAACAATGACTTCTTAATTTAGGGAAATGCTAGAGAAAAAAACCGTCTGCAAGCCCATTTTTGACAATAAGAAACATCTTTTTTATTTCAACCTGTTTTGCACAATCTCTGGACTACTTCCTTTAATAAAAATCAGCTGCTTGTACTTAAGGTATGTGACTAAAGCAAAACCTAAGTAGGAAGGTAAAGCTCCTGGTAAAGAAAATACCATCTAAACAATGAGTAAAAAGCCCATGTGGTGTTTGTACACTACGCTTCTTCCATATTTTCTTTCAGCGGAATACTACACCCCACTAATCACCTGTCCAGCTAAGACTAGTGACATGGACCACCCTCCATCTCCAAGGACAGGTTTGCAGTTCATGTTTTCCAGCAATTTTCTGTCTCCTGGTATGGAAGTCGTCATCCATGAGGGACCCTTTGCTCCAAGAAGTGGAAACGATGTAATAGAAACAAAGATCATTCACATTGGATCCCATGTGACATAAACCATTAACAGCAACCTACTGAAGAAGCTCCATCACCTCATTACCTGAGTTAAGGATGCTGTGTAGCATCTGCCATATGGAAGGTGTCCAGTGAATGTTTCATGACAGAGTGAATGCCTACTTGGGAATTTTCATTTCTACTTTGTGTCTATCACTTTCCCATTGACGTTCAAAGGAACTTGATACAATTTCCAGAGGTGGCCCATGGAGATGCTATGACTGGCCAGAGTCATTACCAACACTCCCTCCAAGAGACTGGAAATCCTCGCCTTCCCAGCTAGGGGTAGTCACGTGACCCAGACCACTACATAGAAAAGCTACTGGAGGCTCTGGAAAAGCATTTGCTTTCCTGATAAGAGCCACATGACTAGTGCTGTGCCTTCCCCGTTCCTTCCTTACCTGATCCACATGTAATGTCCAGGGCTAGTTGGTCACTTTATCATATCTGAGGGAAAGATGCAAACTGCAGAAACACTGGCCCTGACACCCTTGAGCTGATGATAAACACTAATAATTACCCACATCCAGACCTCATTAAATGAGGAAAACAACTCCCTGTTCGGTATTTTTTTTTTTTTTTTTTGGCCATGCCTTGTGTCTTACTGGATCCTGGGCTTCCCTGATGGCTCAGCTGGTAAAGAATCTGCCGGCAACGCAGAAGACAATTCGATTCCTGGGCCGGGAAGATGCCCTGGAGAAGGGACAGGCTGCCCACTCCAGTATTCTTGGGCTTCCCTTGTGGCTCAGCTGGTGAAGAATCCGCCTGCAATGTGGGAGACCTGGGTTCATTTCCTGGGTTGGGAAGATCCCCTGGAGAAGGGAAAGACTATGCACTCCAGTATTGTACAGTCCATGGGGGTCGCAGAGTCGACACAACTGAGTGGCTTTCAGTTCCTCAACCAGGGATTAAACCTGCACCCTCAGAAAGGACAGTACAGTCTAACCACTGCTAGACTGCCAGGGAATTCCTGACTCTTTGTTTAAACCACTTAATAGTCATATTTTCTATTGCATATTTTTCACAGCATTTCTAACTACTTTCTTACAATATAGATCAATAGTTCCTTTGTAGTCACTTCCAGCTTTTTTCAACTCCAAGTGAAATCATTGCAACTGCTAATCAAGTTAATACAATTATTTAAAAATGTGTACAATAAGCCTTACCTATATGTTACTGTAGTAACAGCAGAATATATCATCACCTTTGCTATATAACAGCAAATCAAAATTCAGCAGCATTGTGACTAATATTATATGACATTGGCAGGGTTAGCATGTGCATTATTAATCTTAATTTTCCAGCTGGTAATTTTCTTTTGTAAGAATTCAAGAAGCTAAATTACATACTTTAGATTCAAATAAGGTTAAAGCAACTAAGTATCAACAATCAATATAAGAGTGTGTATAAATTTTATTGATATATTTCATAGAAATTTAACAAATTATATGCTCTTATTAGTTTAACAAAGGTTCCAGTTTTACATATTGGCTCATAAAAGAAATACAAACTTCTTAAAAATAAAATCTATATGTGGTATACAGCTTTTATTGAATTCCAAGGAATGAATTTTTATTTAACCATACATGTAAAATCTTTGGAAACAACAAAACAATAAATATATTATTTCAATTTCCTGTGCTCTGGGATTAATCTAATGTCTCTTCTAAGCTCCGATCCTACCATCCGCTCCTTCTGAAAGTTGAAGAAAGGTATGGGAGACAGACTGGATAAGTAATTATATAACACAGGGTCTAGGTCAAGTCTCCCAGCCTCCCTGGATTCTGTTAATTTATGCATAGGGTTGTGATGTCCACAGTATCCACTTAATTAAAAGAAAATGGATTTTAACAACTGATTCAAATGATGCAGCGTGTTCTTAAAAGTAAACAGGTAAAGCTTTTACCTACATCGAAGGGGATTACTCATACATAAAAGCTCAACAGGCATTAGGAGTTTGCACTGTGCAATGTTTCCTATCTTCTCCAGAGGCAACCTCAATTACAGAGTTTTTAGCTTGAGATATTAATTTAATTCAACCTGAGTGTTGATAAAATGTCCTTCAGTTAGGAAGGAAAAAGAAAAGAGGAGAGAAAAGAAAGGCCTTTTTTTATTGGGATATATTTTTACATATAGAAATTTACAGTTTCAAATACATCCAACCTCAGTGAACAACAAAATGAAGAGAATTTTAACATGAACAATCTGTCTTTAGCAGCTAGCAGTTTATATTACACATAACTGCAGAACACTAAATTCTCATAATTATTATTGCTGAGTATTCTGTTAAACTTCAATGATTAACCAAAGATTAACAATACAAATTAACATTTCATGCAAAAGTATCACTTATGATAAATTATCTTCTTGTATGAAACTAACTTCCTTAAAAAAATAGGTATCATGTACTGAAAACAGTACTATGCCAAATATCTCCTACATACATGTGTTTCTAATACAAACTAGGTATAAGCTAGAGAAAATAGTCAACCACATTACTACAAGGCAGATTATATTCTTTCATTTCATCAACAGCCCTATGAAAAGTTTGTTATCTTTAAAGGGAAATATTTTGGGCTATCATTTTCATTTTATTGACAATTGATATTTATTTCTAACTGATTTACTTCTAATGTTAAGAAGTTCACTTTTAGCAAGCACTGAACGCTTCAGAGACCAGAAAAGATTTTGTACTTAAGAGAGTGATTCTAGGAAATTCTCTACTATGTCTTATAGAAAGACAAATTAATATGTAGATTAATACAGAACTGTGTATTAAGTTATTAAAATTAACTTGACATGTGGCTAGCCCAAATTACTAAAATAAATCAAAAAATTAGTACAAAAGAATGTAAGCTATCTTAAAAGATTTTTATAATGATTACATGTTGAAATTACAATATTTTGGATATGCTGAGTGAAATGAACTATACTATTAAAATTAACTTCCACTGATTCTTTTAATTTTTTCATGTAGCTGCTAGAAAAATGTAAATTATATCTACAATTATGGCTCACATTATTTTTCTATTCTATGGCACTGCTACAGAAACAGAAGATTCTATTACACGTGTTAATATTAATCCCAACCCACACTGTTAAATTTCATATCATTATGGTATTTGACATATGTAACTTATTATCACAAGGCTCTTGAGCTTGGAATCAAATACACCTCTACTCTTGAGTACAAAACCTGCTCTTTTTCATCATCGTCTGTATACTAACAACTGTGCTAAACTCTGTTTATATATGATTCAACAAACAGGTAAAAGAGATCTTTTGAATGATAGAAATATTCTAAAACTGGACTGTGGTAATAGCTACACGTCTAGAAGTGCCATCCAGAAGCTGTATGTAAATTGCAGGTAATTCAAATATGCTCCTTCAGTCCATCAGATGGTTCAACATTGTGAATAAATTTTTCCATGAGGGTTCTGTTACCTGCAAGGATCCTCATTCAAGAGTGGATTATGGAATCACTAGTTGGAGGTATAAGTTACAAAAACCAAGAGAACACAGAGTAGCTG